CGAAGTACATGAAACACTGACTTCGCGAGAAAAAGGCTTCTAGCTTTGGTGACAAATGAATGCGACGAGGAAAAATGGCATTCCACTCTGACAAGTGCCAAAACAGAAGAACCCCTTTATACTAACACGCATTGACCCCTAAAAAAGTAGCACAAGCCCGATATAAAACGAACTGCGCAAAAGTAGAACTTACACTGCACAATTGCACGCATGAAAATAAACTCACGCTGTAAGATTGGATGCTGCACAAGTATGCTAGAGATGTTTTGAAAAACTAGTGTTAGAAGCTATTTGACTATACTACTATAACAGTGAAATAATAGAAGTATAAAGTGAATTTAGCCCGTACTTAGGCATTCTGCGATGTGAGTTTGCACAGCGCACGCGTAACTGACGCCTTAACCCTCCAGGGTTAGTTTAACCCTCAGGGTTGATGAATACGGCCACAGGTTCGTTGATCGATACGGGTAGATCGCGTAACGTGGTAAACCCTAGCCTATGGTTGATGAATACGGCCATTGAACCCTGAGGGTTAAACTAACCCTGGAGGGTAAGCCTAACCCTCAGGGTTCGTTGATGAATACGGCCACAGGTGCTACAAATCGCTCTAGAAATTAATTGCAATAAAGAGCGCATTGGGCGGCTGCTCATTGGCAAGGTTCGTGATTTGTAGATTCATCGATGATCCCACATTTCCCGATGTGTTGCTTGTAGGGTGGTCGCCGAATAACAGAGATTGGAAAGCGTGTCAATGATCATATGCACAGTTTGTACGCACGACAGTTATTCGTGCGCATCATTGTCAGACACAATGGGAAAGTTGTTGAATTTTTGGATTGATGAGTATCTATGTATATAAGTTGATGCACAAACTTTTATGGGACAGCAATGTCCTTTGCTGCACGTTTTGCCCATTTACCCCATACGTTGGTCTTACTTCTAGCTATCCAATTTTTGCCCTTTCGAGTTGCTTTGCGAAAGTTCCAGGGATGATAACTGCGAGCAACTTGCTACTGTAACTTGGAAAAGCAAGTTGCTACAGTAATTGCAAAATAATTTGAGTTTCTCTTTTTTTACTAGTGGAAATCCTGTACAAAGCGCTTGATGTGGTGTCCATAATGGGTGAGGTCAGTCTACATCTTCACCTGCGGAAGCTATACCGCTAGAAGATTACGACACAGCACCTACAGTAGAGGCATCCATGGATTTCTAATGTGATCTTATTTGCTTTTTTGTTGTTTTGAACGAATTGTTTTTGTTTTTCTCATCAATAAAAGTTGTTCTTTGGGTAAAGTGTTCACTGCGCAATCACTGGGATCAGTTTTTGGGGCAAAGGGGAATTCGTACAAAAATTTTGGGTCAAAGGGGAAATCGTTTTCGAAAACCCCTTTTGACAAGCTCGTGCCGGGCCCTGTTTTTGTATCAAAGTGCTTCAAATTGCTGTGCCAGAAAAAAACTAATTAACAAGCAACCGTTGACCATAAAGGAGGAGCGGCTTGCTTATGCAAAAACTGAATGGACAATTTAAGGTGTTTGACGAAAATGGCATTGGCGTCATCAAGAAGGAAAAAATTGGTGAGATGACACATATGGGTACCACAGATGACTTAGCAACTTACCAACTTTTCTACAATTTTTCGAGATTTTTAAAGGAAGACTTCCAGTCTTGAATGTACGTCCATAAGTACAAAATGCACAGTGTTGTAGATTGCGACGGTTTTGTCACGATAAATAAATCGTCGCGACAAAAAAATTTGTCGCAACTCATTTTTTTAAAGAATTATGAGCAAAACTTTAGCTTATTACTATGTGAGTAGGAAGAATAACAAAGTTATAATTTCTAAGAGTACTATAACACAGAGGCGAATACCAACAGCTGAATTATCAAGGAATCGATTTCAGAAGTAAAGAATCTTAGTTATCAGAATGTGAGAATCACGCGAGCAAGAGGCTCCAAAGAACTTCGAATTGACATTGTCTATGGTGCACTTTTCAAACAGATTTGAAATCAGCGATAGCTCAAGACTAAAGTCCCTCAAATTATGGCCAAATTCTTCGAAAAGTAACGAAGACAGACGTTTCCTCCGAGGAAGTCACGCGCAGTGGCAGAGCATTTCTGTTTGTCTGAGAGCTGTAGAAAAGCGATTGTCCTTGGGTTAGAATTGTCCGCAAAGAGGTTTTCTTACCGCTTGAGATTTGAATTCTTCTGGCGTGCGAAGGTGAAGCGAACATTTACGATTTCTAATTGCAGTCGGCATATCCTTGAGAATGTGGCAAGAAATCGCGTATGAATTGAAATGTTAATTGAAGCGGAGAATTTTCTTTGGAAAAATTTGCTTTTTCTGTCTTTCCTGTACTATGACTGCGGCAAAAATATGAGCGTATGTTCGTGAATGACATAGATTATTTAAGTAGGGCTAGACTGATAAAATAGGTGAATGATATAGATTATTTAAGTAGGGCTAGACTGATAAAATAGGGGGTATATACACTTCTAATTTGTGCAGAAAGAGAATAAATGTAAAAAAAGAGTTTTTGCAGCAAAATTCGTTATCTGTTGAAAAATAGAAATTATAAACAAAGAGGTAAATGTAATACGTCCTCGCTAAAAGCAAACCAGAGAAGGATGAGATCTGAAAGCTGTAAAGGGTTTAACAAAAAAAATCAAAAGAAATTTAAACTTTCCGCATTGAAGTTGCAAGGATATGAATGCATGCAATTATTTTCGTCAATATAAATAATTCGATTTTAATACTTTTGACTACCGAGTTGTACACTCTTAAGCCCAAAAAATTTGTAGTCGAAACTTTCGGCTGCCCCTAATAGCCTTCACGAGAAGTTTTTCAACATTTAGCTGCAAATGTCTTAGCTTGATAATTTTATTGTTGATTGTATATGAGAATTATGGCTACAATTAGTAATTGAACCAGCTCGTTAAAGAAATTGTATTAGCTCAAATTATGGCAGGCAGCAACACTTCTTTTACTAAACTGGATTGATTAAAGCGGTTAGATTCAAAGTAATAAAGAAAAGAGGAGTGAATCTGCAAAATAGAAAATATAATACTTCCGATCCTAATAACGTCTGTTTGAGGATGAAAGACAGATTGCAAGCCATGCCTACAACCATCTTGTATGCAAAAATACTAATAATCAATAACAGATAACGAATAACGAATCGATAAGCAAAAGTAAAAAAATAGCAGAGACAAACATCCGATTGAAGGAGTCACGTCATGTAAATGTGCGATAAGGTTTGATCATTTATGAAACACAGCTGGGTTGGGGCAGGTGCAAGAGAGAAATCTTTGATTGTAGAGAATTGGATGCTGGGTATGAGCAGATGCATTTAATGCTAAAGACATTTTCTGTAAAGTAAGAAATAATTCAGGCTAGAAAACTATGCTCAAACCTCCAAGAATAATAGTTAAGAGAACAGAACAAAGTTTATTTATCTAAGAATTTGAGAAATTTGAAGCTGTTTTAAAATTACAAATATACTGCTTCGGAAAAAAATTATCCATGAAATAAAATCTTGCAGTTGAGCACTAAAAATCTAAGCAAAATAATTTGCTGCGTCCCCCATTGTATATCAAATGTCAAGACCTGAAAAGGATGGTCAAACTTTAGTTAAATTATTTTCTGATGTCATATTCCGTTTATTCATAGTGAGTCAGAATAATGCTAGAGTCTATCAAATAAATACATAATCAGATGAAAGCATAAAATACGATTAATGTAAAACTATTATAAAATCATCACAACATAACTCAGATCTTCCAGACTCCGCTAGCGTTAGGGAGTTCCGGTGAGAGTTTGAAATTTTTTTTACTCCTCAAGAAAAAGAGGTGAGGACAATAGAAATTGTATTTTAAGAAAAAAGAACAGCTTTGGAAGTGCATGCTAATCGTGAAAAAGCCTTGAATGAAGCGGTCTTACGCTCGTCCCGTTCCACCTCGAAAGACCTTAGCTGGCAAAAATCAGCTCGAAAACAAAACAACAACTGATTAACGAACACCGAAGGCACAGCAAGACACCACAAGCAGAACACTAGCATTCCAACGCTTGACTATCAATAACTACCCATCAATTTTCTCTGCTAATCGGTCACACGTCATATGAAAGCAACGGTCCGATTGAGACGTTGACGTGGAGCCGAAGTCAGCTGAAGTCGTCGGCTGACCGAGGGCTGGGCTGTTTCCGGCTCCAACGCTAGATAAGACGAGTTAATTGCGAAGTTTGGGTGAGTTGGAACCAATCAACAGAGGAAGAAGAAGTTCTGTGAACCAAAAATCGATGGCGACTCACAAAAACAGTCTGTGTTTGACATGAAAGCATCTAGGTGAATGACTCACTGTCGCGAAAACGCAGCTTCGAACAAAGAATCTTCGAATTCGGTCAATAGAAAAGTTTCTTTTAGAGACAGAATCCGGGAACAATGCACTAGTCACGCCTGTGCAAAAAACGTTTTGCGTAAATGTACAGTTATTATCTGGGAATTTATCAGTAATTCGAAATTAATTAGGGCAAGCAATATTTTCCTCTGACAAAGCCCACTCAATTGTGATATCATTGGAAATTTTCAAATGATTAATTTTTTATTAATGAACATTAAATATTTGTATATGCTCTATATATACAAGCGCCTATTGTCATCACTGAATGAATATAGAAATACCATGGCCACATATTACTTAGATATCTATGCGCGCAAAACAGATAACCTTTCAGTCTTTCCTTTAGCTGTCTGCGTTTCTCAAGTCCACGTTTTCTCTCAAACACGCGCGCGTCAGCGCTGCATGCAACCTATGCATTGCCTGCGTTAATATTTTATAAAAAACTAAGAAGCATCATAATCTTAATTTTTAAGTGTGTAAAAGCCATCATATGATTTTGTAATGCTTAATTACGGAAATTCTTGATAAAAGATAAAATTGAAAGGAAAAAGTAGCAGTTACAGAAATTAGGTATATCTTGAATTTCAAACGCCACAAACCTTACCTTTTCAAATGGCGTAGGCCTTACCGATCCCAAGCAAGCCCAACCCCTTACCCAAATGATTTTCTAACCTCTTGACTTTTCAGGCTAAATATATCGCTAAGAGCAGCTGCTTCTGATTTGTGCGTGCATCCTCTCAAAGCACTCGAAAAACAGAAAAACTTGGACAGCACCTCACTTCAACTTTTGCCCCTCAAGATAAATGGTGTTGAGACAGTGTAAATATCTCTAAAGCTGTGCTGCTTAGGATTACTTGGCGGATGGAAACAATGCTTCAATGTATAATTCTAGGAAAAGTTCCAGATAGGGAGCAAATTGAATTTTTTAATGTCTCCATAAAGTTATGAAGTGCAACTCAACTGATCAGGTGGTTTACGCTCACAAATTGCTGACATGATGCCAGTTCACATTTCAATAATTAACGTCAGTACACCAAGTTTTTTTTTTCTTCAAACCAAATTGGAGATTTATGGCCACCTCCACTAATAAAATCAGAAATTCAACGTATTCAGTGGTCACAATGAGCTAGTGTCAGCTCCTGATTTGGAAGCTTACGAAGGGAAAGGACCATATTAAGTAGCTTTTGTAACTTTTAAGGAAGGAGGTCCACTTCTAAGCTCAATTTGTCCAGTGTTACTCACCCTGCAAAACTAAAACAGTTTTCTAAAGTGGAATTCTAATTTTGTTGGGCAAACTACTTACTGTGGAACAAATCAGAGACGGAAAAAAATCCAACAAATTTGAATTTGTCAGAATAAAGCTGTTACGCGGAAGTGCTGATGCACGTAATAGGACGAGTGTGTATTTTAGATACCCATGAGAACTCGCTTTATAATGGATATTTACCTAACGTACGTCTATTACGACTGTGACGACTGTGAAGTTTACATTCCTTGAAAATTCGATGTTTACACCTAGGTACCTAATGTGCACATAGATCTACTCAAATCATCTAATAACAGTGTAAAAATCACACTAGTTAGACGTTGTTAGACGTGATTTTCTTGTAAATTTATCAGAGAAGAGCTGCGAAAAAAAACAAGGAAATTAGTAAGCAGCTGTTGAGTACCTCTTCCCATACATCACCGTCTGCCTATTTTCGGAAATATGAATAGTAGGAAGGGTGAGGTATGCAGGGTGTCCCAAAAGTATGTGCGTTGTTTGACCGTCGATATTCTATCTTTTTAAATAGTCTCTTGTCAGTTCTTAGGCACCGGTTTTGTAGAGTTGGATTTAATTCAGATTTACCCTATGAGGCCAACGCTTGGGCACTGTAGGTTTACGGTATGAATTTTAAGAAGGGTTTCGTGCCATTCATGGTCATCTCAAAAGAAACCAACACGCTAAAATCTCTTACATTTAAAATAATTCTTCATTTCAATGTTTTGTTTGTAAGGTATGCCATATATTTCATATCTGCTGTATTTTTTTGATCTCAAAAATGCAATTGAACCATTCAAAAAGCACGGAATATTTTCAAAAAGTTAAGCAGTAAATTCAGTATGCTTGAAAACACTACTACACATTTTTTCCATTTTTTTGGGGATTTTGAACGGTGGAATTCGCAACTGCGTTTTGAGCTTAGATTCCTACCGTAATCCTACAGTACTAAAAAGCAATCGGTAATAGTCAAACAACGCATACATACTGTTGGGACACCCCGTTAAAGTTTGGATGAGACTTTATTGGATTTCTTCCGTTTTTTTGTTATACGACTATAACAAAGTATAGTTCGCTTTCACATATTTCCACAATCTCACAAAAACAAGACTTTCGCCATTTTCTTTGTGAAAAACAGAAAGAATCTGTCCAACAGCCTTCCTCGAACTCGCTCCTCCACTTCCCCTTCCCCCAAATTACTTATTTCTTTTTCCGTGTAATCTGCTTTACAGCGTTGAAATTTTTTTTAGATCTGACTCGCCATTTCTTTCCCTCTCGCGCGTGATTTTAAACTAGCTTTCTCGAGATCTGTGTGTACCAAAGTTTTTCTTGCGTCGCATGTCCTCCTCTTCACCTCGGAAGTGTTAGAAATGTTTTCGAGGACTCAATGTCTCATATCAAGAGCAGGGAAGAGCACTTGAAATGTCAAAAGTTAGGAGAATGTCTTAAGAGATTCGTGAACTACAAGTAACAGTTAAATAGCTATAGTCGTCCTCCCCCCACTAGACACTTAGTGGACGAATTTGAATTCGAACTAGAGCACGCCGGCTGAGGCAGAGCGCGACACCGTCAAATGCATTTCAAGCTAGTGCGGTATTCTTTTGTGTTTTTATCGTCGACACATTGTGATTTTTTCGTTCTAATGACGGTTGTAATCAGAAGTGAAGAGTTTATTGTTGCTTAGCGATGTTTCGTACTACTATGCCCGTTTCTTTACTCTGTTTTCAGGTGAGGAAAAAAGAATGCGCATGGGGAGTTTTTGACCCAAAGTTCAATGAAGCAAGACTAAGTTCAAGACTTACCGAGAAAATTTCACGTTTTCAAACTTAGTCGTTTTCCGAAATCAGCTTGGAATCGTAGTCAAAGAAACGAGCTTGGTAGCACGATTCATCGCTCGAACAAAAGCAACAACTTCAACACCAACTGAGAAAACTGCTAGCGTTCAAAAATCAGTTAAAACATAGGGGAAACACGGAAAAATTTGTTTAAGATTGAAGTACGAGCTGCAGGTGCCGCGCTCTGCCGCAACCGGCGTGCTCTAGCTCAAATTCGAAATTGTCCACTAGGTGTCTAGTGGGGGGGGGGGGGGGGGGACGACTATAGCAATAAGGAATATAGGGGCAATTGAATCGTAAAATGAACGAATGATGTATACGAGAAAGACGGATTATCCAGACAAAAATAAGATATGTTTTCGTCAAATAAGTACAGTATGGAAGCAATTTAATCAACATATGATTTGCAAAGATTCTCAAAATTATTTTCAAGATTCTCTATTCTGCATCATTTGATAAACCATACGAATTCCAAAAAAATAGCGAGTCCAATTAATTGATAAGACTTACTATGCAAAGTCAGTTTTGACTGAGATATAACATATAACGTGACTCGACGGATTTTTCTGTACAAAACACGAAACCAAAAAAAACATGAAGGAAGCCGCAAAACATACTGATGCAGCGGAAATATGATATGCGTAAGTCCCACTTACTTGCCCATGATGGGCGGAGTAAATTGAGTTAGACGGTTGGTAATACGAGAATTTTGAAAAAAAAAATACTGTGGGAGAGCTGGAGCAAGCCGGACGTATGCTAGATGAAATTTCGGTGAAATGTTGTGGACTGCATTATAACATAGAAGCGGAATTGTCGCTAACATAGACAAAACAAACGTTGATGTTTCTCTTGGCGGATGCTAGATTGACGTTCAGCTATCTCTGGGGAGTTGTAAATGGGAAAATACTCACAAATGGCCAAGCGGAGCATGTGAAGACCCCTGCTCTGGTCCGGAAATCTCAAAGGATTTTTTCAACACATTATATTTAGAGAGAAGATTCAAGATCTATTCAAGAGTAGAAGCTTCTAGAATGCTCAAGTGAAATCTAGAAAGAGTTGAAAGAAATCTTAAACTTATTCGGAAGAGTAATTTTTAATAGTTCTTTCCGTTGTGCTTGGGAATCTTCTTCTTAAACAAAAATTTATTGAAGAACATTCCTATTGTGCTCAAAAGAAAAATGGGAATGATCGATCTGGGAAGTTCTGATGAATTTCTTCTTAATGCCTAAGAAAATATGAAAGAAAGTACTTCCTAAAAAAATGGAGAATGTATTTTTTACAGCGCTCAAATTTGAAAAAGAAATTTTTTGATAAATTTAACAGGAAGATTTTGAAGACAATGTAGAAAGTAATTTCGATTAAGTTCTTCATAAGTAACTTATTAAAGCTGTTTGGACTGTGGATTTCCTAGGAGTTTTTGATTGTTGAATAAAATTCTGACATTTTTGCTAATAATACGCGACCATTGAATGAAGAGAAAAACTTCGCAAATTATTTATATAAAGACGACGAAGTAGGGGTTTAGACAAAATCTTCCTGTTAGATTTATCAAAAGTGAGATTTTGATGATCTTTGAATGGCATAAGACCGAAAAGTTTCCACCAGGTTGTCCCATAGGTTCCTTCCGTTTTGACTTTCAATCGCAATAAATCATGTACTTCTTGAAGATAAATGCATTTCAAAGTACCATTCGATAGAGATAAGCAACCTCTACAAAATGGCGCTCTTGCTTTTGCACCAGCTTCAATCCATCTCGAGTTTCAAGGAGCAGAATAATCAAGAAAATATCTTAACCCAGTCTAAAAAAATCCTGCAAAAATTTTAACATGCTCACTTCAACACTATTCACATCATTTATATGCGCCATTGCCGTATTTTTTCCTTGATTAGAATTCAGGAAAACGCAAAATTTCATGCTTTTGCTAAAGTGACTCTGCCTGTTCCTATACAAGTAATCGTATACCGCTAGACTGTAAGTACAAAGGCAAACTTTCCAGCTCTTCAGGAGCTCTAGTTTTTTAGAAATATGGATTTTAGCGTAAGTCAGTCGAGTAAAGAAACCTAAACTCCAGTTTTTTTTCTTTCAGTTTTCAGCTTAAAACTCGAGATGGATTGAAGCTGGTGCAAAAGCAAGAGCGCCAATTTGTAGAGGTTGCTTATCTCTATTGAATGGTACTTTGAAATCCATTTTTATCTATAAGAAGTACATGATCTATTGCGATTGAAAGTCAAAACGGACGGAACTTATGGGACAACCTGATACTATTTGATATGGAAATTTTGATGTCCTTTTCCTAGCATTCAAAACACAAACAAAAATCATCTGTTTGAAGGTAGAAATTAAATGGGCTCAAAGTGCCAGAGAACGAAACTCGAAAACGATTTATGGATCTATGCGGAAATAAGATTTTCTCTGCATTTTTCCACAGCGTTCTAACAAAGAATTTCTTTGCAGGACCATGATAAGAAGTTGTGTACCTTTACAAACCAAACCTCTAACAGTCGGTTATGTGGAATGTTCGACTTG